TAATAGTAATTTGGTATGGCTTCGCGGGCCAAATGTAATTAGGCTGCGGGCGGGCCAGAGTTTGACACCTATGCTGTAAATGAACCAAACTTCAGTCAACTGAGATAATCCATCCACAATATGACACAATACAAGGTTTGTCATTAATATACTGCAACAACACAGGAATAGAGCAGCTGCAAGAGAATTCAACATTAATGAACAATGGTACGGAAGTGGAGGAAGCAAGAAGGAGTTGAGTAAAGTTTGACTTATCTGACTGTTTTGTTTCGCTTAATGCACCTTATAATCTGGTGCGCCTTATGGTCCGAAAAATACGGTAAGCTTAATCTTAAAAGCAGAGCAGGTGTGTGTCTCCCAAATCCAAACTGTGACTTGTTTCCACAGAGAAAAGTTTTAAAAGCCGGAAGCTCTGCCTCATATTCTTCTTTTAAATATCCTTGGAAACCCTCAGTCAGATAGCAAATTTCTATAACCTCTTTAAAATAAGAATATTCAAGACATTGTATGAGATGATTTTAAATTTGATTCTGGATTTAACAAGGATCCAATGAAGAAAAGCCAAAATAAAAGAAATACGCTCTCTCTTTCTAGTGTCCTTCTATCATTACTCTGACTCTCACAGTGTTGCTGGAGGCCAAGATAATGCCATAAGTATCTGGTTAGGTACCATATTTCTAAGATTTTCGGGGTCAAGTACAATAGCCTCAGTTTTTTCTGAATTTAGAATCAGTAAATTAGAGGTCATCTAGGTCTTTGTCTTTATGGCATTCCTGTAGTTTTTGTAATTGCTTGGCTTCATGGATAGATAAAGTTGGCTATTGTCTGCATAGCAGTGAAAATATATGGTATGCCTTGATCTTAATGATACTGCCTAGGAGAAGCATGTAAAATGTAAACATAACTGGCCCTTGCATGAAACCCTGTGGAACTCCATAATTAACCTTTGTGTGTGATGAGGGCTCTCTAACATGAGCAAATTGGAGTCTATTAGATAGAAATTATTCCACATCACTGCAGGGCAGTACCTGTAATACCAAGAGTATGCTCTAATCACTTCAATAAAACAACCTGATATCACAGCAAAGCGTGTAATAAACACTCTGGTCCACCATGTCCATTTCAAGCTTTGCATCTCCAAAATGTGAAAAGTGCATGCATGCAGAAGTTGCAGTAACAGCAGAGAAACATATTTTATTTCAAGCTAACATGAAAATAGTCATGGGAAAACATTTAAATAGACATTATTAACACATTTACACACAGGAGATAGACACTGTCTCTACTTTTAAGATTAGGCTTAAAACATTCCCTTTTTTTTTTCTTCTAAGCTTTATTTTCATTTTTAAATTAGAAACGAACAAAAAACAAACAAACAAACAGACACACAAAGCAAGCAAGAAAAAAACAAAACAAAAAAAACAAAACAAAAAACAAACAAACAGAAAACTCACAACTATGGGACAGAGCAAGTATCATCAAATAACCACAGCATGGCAGGCCATTGTAAAACATTCCCTTTTGCTAAAGCATATAGTTAAATGATGCATTTAGTTTTTCCTTTCCAGTCACCTTTTTCACACTCTACGTGTTAATAGACCTCTCTGCATTGAATCACACTTGTTATTAATTTCTGTCTCTCTTCCACAGCATGTCTTCTATACTGTCTTCCTTCTCTCACCCCAACCGGTCACAGCAGATGGCCCCACCCCTCCCTGAGCCTGGTTCTGCTGGAGATTTCTTCCTGTTAAAAGGGGTTTTTTCCTTCCCACTGTCACCAAAGTGCTTGCTCATCGGTAGTGATGGGTACCATTATCCGGTGCCATAACGGTAGTAACCAGACCGAAAAGCAGCGCACATTTCAGTGCTTTATTTTGGTGCTTTTTTTCCCCCTGAGATGTCATACACTTTGGATTCTAGCCAATCATTTTACCTTTGCAAGCATAATAGGCGAGCCCAGGTACGTACGTTCTTTTAGAGCAGAGCTACAGATTAAAAATGCCCAAGGCGAAGCAGTCAAAAGGACCCTGGAATGTACTTCATATGTTTTTTGATCACTACCAACTCTGTGTATATAAATATATTACCCCCCCCCTGCTGGTAATACAACTTCTGCATGCAGTAATGCAACTTCTGCATGTAGTAATGCAACTTCTGCATGCATGTCCATTTCGCGTTTTGGAGTGGACTGGTGTGTCTATAACATGCTTTGTCATGATATTTGGTTGAATAAAATACTGTTGCCAACAGTATCAAACACTGTACTGAAGTCTAGCAGGACAAGAACAGAAAGGAGTCCACTAACAGAGATCATAAGTGTAAACTTCTTTGATGCTGTTTCTGTACTGTGATGAGCTCTGAAATCTGACTGAAACTCTTTAAATAAGCTGTTCCTCAGTAGATGATCTGTTAGCTGTATTACAACTACTCTTTCAAGAATTTTTGAGATAAATGAAGGTTGGCCATTGGACATACCCTTAAATGTAGATACAGACTTTAGGGAGTACTAACCTAATGGCATAACTGTTTGTATCAAAGAATCAATTTGGTTCTTTGCAAACTCATGCAGTGTTCTTGTTGAGACAAAAAAAGAGTGAGTTTATGAATCTACTTACCTTCAAAAAAATATGGTACAAAAAATATTTTAACTTCCAGTGTTTATCTCTTGGTGTTCAACCATCCTACTACAAAGTATCTACCAAGCTCAATATATTGTACATCATTGTAAAAGGTGCATTTTAGTCCTCAATTATATTATGAAATGAATTATGATAATGCATAAACATATGACCGAATGTAAAATGTTCAGTCTTACTTTGTATTTTGTCAAGCTCCTGAAAAGCATTAGTTTTGAGTTGTGGTGGTTAAAAAGACAGATGGACAGATGGACTTATGTTATCTGAACTGGTTGTTAGACAGATTCCTTAATTTGTAAGTAAGGTGAGCTACTTCCCCTCCCCCTTCTATTAGTAGCTACCATATTGATGTCAGAAGAACAATATGTACACTAAACCATAAAAGAGAATAAGATATTACTAACATTAATTTCTGCTTACCTGTATTTCACTGGGTAGAGAAAACTGCAAAACGTACTGCTTATCGAGCAGTTTGTTGCGGAAGGTATTTGTCTGCCATTCCCTCATTTTTTGTAATGTGTCCTTGACTGACTCTTCATGAATTATCTTTCTTGTCTGTAAATCAATGAAGATGATTATGAAAAAAAAAACGTATCGCACCATGTCAACATAATAAATGTCAAATTGCACATGAGCATTAAAATTTTAGTTAGTCCATTCTTTGTAACTTTGCTGTTTAACTTGCTTTTGGGAGAAATATAGAAACTTTTTTCAAAACAGTCCAGTGCTTATTCTGTGTGTGTGTGTGTCTGTGTGTGTGTGTGTATGTATATATTTAAATATGTGTATATATTTCACTGTCTTAAAGTGAATAGTTGGACAAGTAAGTCACACCTGGGAATCAGTGAGGCCATATGCCTTGGCAATTACACAGACTAGATCAAGGAACTGAAGAGGAAGATCCCAGAACTCTGTGTCTTTTGTGATACAGCAGACAGAACCAAGAAGCATTACTGCAGTTTTCAGGCAGCACACTCCATCACTGTCATCAAAACTATGGGAAGAAAATATTAATATTATTGTTGTATATGCACAAGACTGCTAGCAATAATACACTGACATTTTTCTTCAGGGATCTTGGATTATATTCTCAGGCACCTTTGTTTTCTTTTTCATTTTACCTTTTCTTGTGATTACTCTCTTTCTCGATCAGATAAGATGTCAAATGTCTCACAACCTGTCAGCAAAATAACAGAACACATTTAATATAAAAACACAAGATCATTAAAGATGGGGTAGGCAACATGTATTTATTGTCCTAAAATACCACTGCTTTAAGAATACATACCCTGCACATGCGTTTACGGTTGCCAAAACTGACAATGACAATAAACTGCAAATGCTGAAGAATGTCTCGAAGTTCAACACGCATAATCAATTTGTTGTTCATTAGGTAATCAACTCCCATCAGAGACATCCAAGAGTGCACAAGAAGATGATCAATGTCTATCAAGTAGTCATATTCTTCCATGATCTGGATCAGATTCCTAATTAAAAATGAGAGCTGATTATTGGGGGCAGATGAATTAAACTGAATTTTGGTGTATTTATAAAAGATATAAGTGCATACATATGACTAGCATCATATAAATCTGGTCTTGTGATTCTCTTCAAGCCTGTCCAGGAGTCAAACTGTGGATTCAAGACAGGTGGGACTGGCTCATATGGTTTGCTTTCTCCTCTCAGTAGATGAACCAAAGGGATGACCAACACCCACTTCTCAATACGGCGTGTCATAGCGGTATGGCAAAGGGTCTCAACTGCATCTGCAACCAATCTTTTATATAAATAAAATATGTCAGTGGTCAGACAAGTCAGTGACAAATTCACATGCTAGTATGCCAAACTACACTGAATACCCACAGCATTTTTTACACAAATGTCAGATTAAATTGATCTATCTATCTATCTATCTATCTATCTATCTATCTATCTATCTATCTATCTATCTATCTATCTATCTATCTATCTATCTATCTATCTATCTATCTA